CACACACACACACACACACACACACACACACACACACACACACACACGTATGTGCGTGTTAATAAACACACTCTCCCACGCAGGAGCCCAGAGCAGAATGTGAGCTGGTCAGAACGTATTTACTACAAAAAGGCAAACAGTGATACTATTCTGGGGTACTGAAGTCATTTGAATTCTCATTGCTATAAACTTTTATTTAGTCTACAGACTTTTCCTTTTCCTGTCATAAATTGAGAGGCAAGGTCCATTTATTTGTGTAGCACCTTTTAAATACAGAGGCAGTTTAAAATGTTTTACATGAGAGGAAGAAGTGCATCAGAGAAACAATTAAAAGTGCAATAAAGAAAAAGGATAAAATAAATACAAAAATAAGTTCCCCTAAATTCAATAAAGGACACAAAATTCAGCAGAGACACTAAACAAAAGCCACAGGACAACAGGGGGATTTTTCATCTAAATGTGAGAGAGTTAAAGTGAAGGGCGCCTTTAAGATCATCAGGAAGTTGGTTCCATCTGTTCTCAGCTTCGTAGCTAAAAGCAGTTTCACTGTTTGAATCATTGACAAAAACCTCAAGACATACTTGTTCTCAGTGGCCTTTGGTTGCTCTTAGCGGTTTTAAAGTTTCAGCATTTAAAATTATTTATTTATTTATTTAAATTGCTCTGACAAGTTTGTGCACACTCGCTGTTCTCTTGTACTTGCGAAGCACTTTGTTCAACTCTGGTTGTTTTTAAACTTGCAATTTAAATAAAGTCTATTGTGACTGGTCAGCTCACAAAAATATGTGGTTCATTCTGCAGCTACCACCATAAAAACTGCTGGCTGTTGATGGAACCTGAAAGCTTCAGGGACCACAGAGTCAGGCGTACGGCGCTTACACAGTATCATGCTTTGCTCATTTAGTTTGGCCAATCGTTGACCGGAAATCCCTAAAAAATGAACCTGAATGTTCAGATCTTTGTCCTCTTCACTTGTCACAGAAGAAGGTCCTCCTCGCCTTTTTGCCTCCAGGCAGCAGCTGCTGCAGCTCTAACAGGAGCTGGCAGTTAATAGGCTCTGAGTTTGACACAGTTTCTAGCCAACCCCAAAGGAAACGGTTCACAACCACAGACTCATGAGAGAGATAGAGGCAGACACTAATATAATATCACTCAAAGTGTCAGGTGTTAAAAGAAATGACTAATATAATGAGTAACGTCATTTGTGCGGAAATATCGGGGATTTTCTCTCCAATTTATTATTAGCCTTAAAATAAGCACGTGTAAATGCATTCATGTATTCATTCCAAATTATTCCCTTATTGTTGAATCTGTGACAATGAACCGATACTTGACAGGCCATTTGGATTAGACCTTTAGACAATAATCTGAACACTTTTAGTAAGCCTCCTGGATATAATGAGTTTGTCAGTTATTCAGTTACCAACCTGAGTATGTGCGGATGGGAGAGCCGGTTCATTAGCTGGACCTCCCTCAACATGTTAGCTCTGTTGCTGCTGAGCTTGTTCATCTTCAGAGCCATCACTTGGTCTGAAGCCCGATGACGTACCTTTAAAACAGTCAAATGATGCCACATTTAAAATAAAGTCAAGTGCAACAGAACAAAGGGCTGAATCCCAATACCTGCACTATGTTAACTATATTCTGGTGGCTGCAAAAGACTGTGATTATATAAAACAAAATAAATCAACACATTGAAACACCGCTTTTCTATTATGGTCACTTCAGGCTCATGCAGCAGAGAAACAGAGGAAGCAGAAAAGGACGGCAGCTCATAACAGAGAAGTGAAATGGGGTCAGACGCCGCTGACCAGCCGTGACAAAGTAGACGTGTCAACCCAGAGCTGCACAATCAATTTTGTATTATTGAGCATTGGGATTTTAGTTTCCATCTAAGTGTTAGATGGGGGTAGCGTCACCATCCATCCATCCATCCATCCATCCATCCATCCATCCATCCATGGGTGGCTGGAGCCGATCCCAGCATGCCTCTGGTGGAAGGCGAGCAAACACTGTAGATAGGTCACGACATGAAGACAACACCGACGCTCTTCCTACTGACGTTTCAAACAGTACACAAACAAGAGAAGTAAAATGGTTTTGTTTCTCAAATCTTTGAAAAATATTAATATTACTGAATTATTATTGTGATCACAGTATATTACAAAAAAAAGCTAGATGTAAACAATGCCTGGTTGGAGTAAATTCTAAGTATCGTTGAAACAGAATCATCGTTACTGACCAGGTATGAGTCAACATGCCGGGAATTTCTCTCCAGATTTTGCTCTCATTGTGCATTCAGAGCTAAAAAGAACAAAGCTGAACACGAGTAAACATGAACTTTTAGCTATAATGTATATAGCAGTAGGTGACAGATGATAAAAGCATTTAAAAAGAATACATGTGCATATGAACTATGTCTATAAGTCAGACTGTTTCATGAAATGCACATAATAATACAGTAGTGCAATGGTGCAAAATACATATTGGAATATACTGGAATAAATATTGAATAACTAATGTAACAGGTTGCTATATAAATAACGCATGTGGATATGTATAGTGTATATGTATGTATAAATGCCAGTTTACAGTATATTCAGTATACAGCAGCTTATACTGGTATTATGTTAGTAATGCGTTTAAAAGATTAAAGCCAAGAAAACTTGGACAAAATAAAAAATAAAGAAACTAGTGCATAGTGTCCGTATGTCGATACAAAATAAAATATATAAAAACACTCCTAACATGCCTCCTACATTCCTCCTGACAAACAGCAGGCAGTGTTATGTGTTCAAGAGTGAATTTGTAATTCAAAAGATGTAAATTTGAAGTAATTCCAAACACACTGCCATTTAACAGGGTGCAAAGCCTCTGAAAGAGCTCTAAACACACTTAATCTCTCTCATCAAGCAAATACAAATGAGCCTGCTGTAAATGTTGGCTCCCATTAAAGACGGGGGAGTCCCATGTTGCACGTCTATCCATTGCCCGCCGATCACTTCACAGCCTTTGAAATAGTAAAGTGACCTGAGCTCTTCACACTGCAGGTTTCAAAAGGCACAACAAAGCATTGCATTAATTACCAGGAATTCGGTTTCTTCTGAATACTCTCCTGTGCGTGCAGATAGGAAATATCAACCTGCAAACCACAGAGAGCAGCACTCCAAATGACTGAGCTGCTGCAGACTCTTACTAACGCACTTCCTGACAGCAGAAACATAACCAGACCATGATGCAGGTTTTAATACAATAGTCTGAAAGGCCTAAATATATACTCCTGCGTCTGCAGCAACAGAGAGCCTCTTCAAACATTATCAAGAGCTCCCCCAGTACAGGAAATCATTGGGACGCTTCATAGATGCAAAACAGAGCTGCTTACTGTCACATCACAGCTACAGTCACGTTATACAGCAACAGCTCGACCATTTCAAACCACTAAAGATGTGATGTAGGAAAAAAGGGAGAGGTGTCAATACTGCTAACATGCACTTGTGACACAGTATGTTTAGTTGTGGAAAACACAAATAATAATATATGATTAGACATGTGTGTACCTTAACACAAATGGTGGAGCACCATTTGGTTAGCCCGCATTTTTCTTGGGTAATCATTGCAAACAGCTCTCTCAGAAATCCTGAAAAACGTGCATCTATGGAAATATGTTGCGCCGAAAAAGGGTGAGAACCACTGTTCTAACAATGGCTGCCTCCATCATCACATCCGGTACGCTGTTGACACGACGGATGGGCAGTTTCACTTACTTACAGCAGGTAAGGGACTGGACAGTTGGGTCAAAATATATATATATATATATATATATATATATATATATATATATATCCCTGATTCTGGGAGTTTTCTGTGTACGCTACTCTCTTCCTCTGCTTGTCTCGTACATGCAGAGACAGAAATCGCTCTGTTTCAAGTTCAAAGGACAGGGGGCCTGGCTAAGAGCCGACGGTCTCCACCACAGGACGGCAGAAACAACAGATGGCCACTCCTCTGAAGGCCTCCTCCCCCACATCCTGGGTCTATCCTCCTCCTCCGACCCCCCATTCCTCACTCTTCACATCCCCCCCCCGTCTGCATGTATTCCTGATCCCCCTCGTTCTCCTCCTCGCTGTGGCCTCCAACAAACCGTCGCCCCTAATCCTCATCTACTCATCTCCCCCAGTACTCAAGCCCAAGTTCTTCTTCTTCTTCTCTTCTCGTCCCCTTGTCTTTCTGACTTGTGGTCTTGCACACTCACCTCTTGAATATCTTCTGTTTTCACCACTGCACGTTTCTGGAAAATATACCAAATATACCAAAACCCTTTCTCCCTTATCTCCTCTACTCCCTAGCCAAAGCTCTAGATCTCCTCTACTTCACCTTCTTCTCCAGAATTGCACTCTTTAGATGAAAACATCCCCATTTTTCATCCCCTTCAATAGTCTTGCCGTGCTCTCCCACATCAGTAGCTTGTCCTCCTCCGGTTCCTCCCTCTCTTAGCCTCAACCTCTGTCACCATTAATTTCACCGCCTTTTTGTTCCCGTCTCCGTCTGTCATCCTCCTCAACTTTAGGCTTTTCATCATTCTGCTCCATTTCCTCTTCTCTCGGTTTACCTATGCATTCCTCTCTCTCTCACAGAAACTATTAACGGATATTTCCATTACTCAACTAGAGGGTGAGGTGGTACTTGTAATAAATTGCACACTGGAAGCACGGCCCACGTAGATGTGTCGGTTAGCTTGATTATTGTGTCTGAACATTTATTAGAGCCTCAACTGGTTTAGATGGTAAGTGATCCATCCTAGATCTAGAAAAATGATGTTCTATTACAGTTGTTTACCCTCACTTCGGATTTGAAACAATACTCTTTATGAGCCATTACAGCCATGATTTAACTATTAGCCAACATTTTCCTAAATAATAGAACTGCACAGTGCAACATAGTGCACACAGACAATTTACAACCTGCATCACACCTCCCAAATATAAATGCATTGTTTTATATAGTTTAATAAAGCGTTTTGTAAAGCATGTGTCCGTCAGTGTTTATAGTTGAATAAAGTTATGGTTTATAGTCTCGTAGTCTTTTATATAGTCTATATAATATCTATGGAGAGAGGAGGGTCACAATGTAAGTGGTGTGGTAGACAGTTGTAGACGGTATTCGGGCAACTACTCTTCACCAGGTAACCCATCAAAATACTGAAGCTGAAACGCAGTTTTAAAAACAGCAGCACGACAGCAAAGTGGCCGCTGTTTAATCCCAAGCGGCTGAACTTGTTTCACGGATACCTGCTGTGAATGTGGATGTCTCTGTAGTTCACTCACTCGCAGCGCTGTGCGTTATGAATCAGCTCCAGTATCACAGTCCTGTTTCTGACAGCGGGGTTACAATAAACAAACGGCTTAATATGGCTGATAAATACCTAATAACTATGCCATGATTTGCTCCAATACGTATCTTTAAGGTCAGCCTGGGTCGACCCAACACTCACCAAATAGCTGTCAGACACCATCAACATTATGATCGATCAGACCAGAGTTGGTGCCTGAGAGTGAGACACAATGGAAACTGAATTTCAAACCACTCCACTAATCCAATAGAGATCTCCTGTTACATCGATGTACAGTAGAGGGCTTATCGGTGTGCACGGACACCATATTAAAATTCCAATAAACACATTCAGTAGAAGATAGAAGCCCTTGTTAATTATAATACATAATTAATAAATACTGCAAAGTTAAACAGAGCCTGGCTCAATGTCATCCAAAACCTTCTGGGCCATTATTCTTCATTAATCCGATTATTTCCATTCATGTGCGAGAGACCACATACATACTCGTCAACGTTATTGTCCGTGTTAACCCTTTACATAACAAGAGGTCAGTCCTGCATGTGCACAGTGGTGTGAGGTCACAACGTCAAAGGCCATGCTTGCTTATTTCAGCTCCTTTGCTAGTGAGTGGTCCTCATCTACATCACACTGAATCATGCCCTGTTTTCACACAGTTTACAGTGCGGCCTTGTTAATACAACCAACAAGACTAAATAAATGTATCTGCTGATGCTTGATTGGTTGACATCACCAACCAAACAAATAATGCCAAACATTACTTGACTGGAGGGGGAGGAAACTAAATAACGGGGTCAATAAGTCTGTGTTTAAGTGATGTCTTTGAAGTGACTGCAGTCTAACTTGACCTAAAACTGTTCTGAAGACCAAGATGCCTCAGAAACAATCAGTCCTTGACCCACCAAGCATGTTAACGTGACATGATCACATCATATGGAATATTACTTTGGCTTTAACAGTTTAAACTCATATAAATGCTATTTGCTAGTGAAGGCCATGCATGCACAACAAGTTCCCTTTTATTCCTATGACTATTAATCCTGACCGTTGCACAAAAGGCACGAGCACGACTTTTGTCACGTAGCAGGAAAAATCAATCAATCCCAGGGTCAAATGAGTATGTGTCAGACAGAGTGTCTGGCCTATGATAATCCACCCTGGCTGGGTGGGAAGGAGTGAGGCATGGATCAAAAATTAGCTCTAAGTACAAAGACTGAAAGTGGCAAAAGATAAAGTCAATCAAGAAAAGGCAAGACAATCAAGGAGAGCCTATGGGATCCCAGAGAACTGTAATCTCTACCCACCTTATAGACATCAGAGAAGAATCCAGAGCCAATCCACTCACAGGTGAAGTCATCAAGGCGCGTCAGACAGGAGAAGGCACTGATGAGGGCTCTGTAGGATGAGGGCCACACCCTGCCCACCTGGAGAAGACGAGAACTGACTGCTATCAACAGGTAAGGATCTTTTATCTGATGCTGAAGGGTCGCTGCTGCAAGTTGCTTGTGCAGAAAATTGAGACAGAGGTAGATAATGTTGCCTTTAAGTGGGGCAAGAACTAGAAGGCCGCAAACTAGATGTATAGACTGATTGCACCAGAATAAACTGATTTTCTCAGATTTTCTCAAACCTCAAAACCTTCCAAGAACATGAATTCTCGTGTGTATCTCCACTAAAACTGAATATTTGAACTCAAACATTCAACAGCGCTCGTATTTACTGAAAAATTATTGGCACAGAATATCCAAAAACACAGATTGGAAAGAAATGGTTGAAATGGTTGATATGGTTGATGATGATGATTATTATTATTAATTGTGCACACAATTGTCCTACTGATGGTATAAAAAAAATCAAACAACAATCTTTATCAGAACAACAATAAGTATCCTTTAAGCTCACATAATGTATGACTTGTAGGCCCATAGACCTGATTATTAATATTGTGTGTTTATCAGAACTCAACGAGAAATGTTTCTCTCTCCAAAGCTATCAAGAACATGGAAACGATAGAATATATTTGTTTTAACTCTTAACCCTGTATACTATAAAGTGCTGTATGCTCTGCACATGTGAAATGAATCCTACCAACAATAAATACAGAACAGCGACTGACCTGTGACGGCGGGCCCATGCCCATCTCGCCGACCCCTAACCCTCCGAAACCATCTCTGTCCTCATCGGTGCGTTCGGGTCGCGTAGGAAGCCCAGCGATGGAGTTGCGTTTATTCCGGTCCATGGTGATGTGAAAGACGGTGACACCAGTGAGGGTAATATGGGCCTTTTCCCGTAATGTACCCACATGACAAGAGGACTGGATTGTTTTAAGGGTGCCGAGGGTTCCACGGCAGCACAGACTTCACTCAGTTTGTGTCCTGGGAGAGAATATGTCACACGCATAGACTTCCGTTTAATATTTTGGTTCAGGGCACACCTGGTGACACACCCTGGATGGATCCAAGATGTTTCCCACTAGTCCAGTTCCTCACTGCTTGTAAGTGGGGAGTCCACCAGGATGAGAGGGATTTCACATGTTTGACGGATGTATTGTGAGCCTTTGGAGACCTAGAGAAAGTAAAACTCAATTTAGCGTCATTTCTGTGGTTTTATATTAAGATCATAATGGTTGGGTTTATTGTTCATGCATTCAAACATCCAACAAAAGCTGCAATGCTGTCATTTATTTTAAATGTTTGGCTATTTAATAGCAGCTGTAGCTGCAGACTGGGCCTTGCATTAGGATGGATGAGACAAGCCACTATTGCTCAACAGGCCCAAATGAAATGGCTGTAATAGGGGCCGATTGTCTAATTATGGGAGATTAGCCAAGGAATAGCTCAGGTCCTGGACCTTTCTGCCATCCAAAACAAAACCAGCAGGGTACAAAGGGTAACAGGAAAGGGAGCCTGTGGCTAAAGGTCTCTACACTCCCAAACAATGTGGCTTTCATATCTATGTTTTAAGAACACTTTACTCCAGAGTGAGATCTCAAGCTTGTAAAGATTTCTTTCCAACACTTTGAAAGAAAGGTGGAGTAAAACTCAACGCTGGTGAGTAACACTGGATCTAAACAAAACTTTATTTACGAGAGAACTCCACAGAGCACCTGTTATGATTGTCAGAAAATTAATTGGCGACTATTTTGATAATCAATTAATCATTGAAGTTATTGTTGGAGGAAGAATGCAGAACATTTCTTCGTTCCAGCCGATTAATGGGAGGTTTTCTGCTTTTCACTGATGTCCATTATTGTAAGTTGAACAATTGTTGGTTGGACAGAAGACGTCACTTTGGGATTCAGGAACTTTTTAACGAACTTTTCCTTTGTGGTTGAACTATTCCTTCAAGTACTTGTGTCCCACAATGAGCTCATGCATATCATAAAAAAGGTAATGGAGTTCACACTATCACTTTTAATACTACATAGCCTGCCATCGTGTACTCTGAGATTTCTGCCCCCCCACCCCGCAGCAATAACACGTCGCAGTCATATAAATCAGATGTAATCAATTTACAATGTGTACACAAGACACAACCGGACTCGTTCAGTAAAACTTATTCCAGTAAATGGGAAGGAAGAGTGGCAGATTTAAAAAGGAATGTTCTGAAGCGACCTACATTCAACCAAAGCAGAAACAATCAGAGTCAATGTTAGACCAGGAAGAGGTCTCATAAGATCCAATACTAAAAACAGCTTTAAGATGACACATACAGATTCTGCCTTGGTCCGTTAGAATTACATCACAGACACTAGACGAGAGAGTTCCTTCAGATCTAGTGGACAACTTCTGACATCATTCTCTGGCCCAGCCACATCCTTAAAAGGCATTTCCTCATCCTCTATCTTTTATACTCTTCATTTTATGAGTTGTTGAAGTCATACGGCAGGAATAAAAGTGCCAGTGCAAGAAAAATGCAAAACCACAAGTGCCCGGGCCGAGGCTATTCTTTCTCATTTGAGTAGCTTCGCAATCCAAGAGCGAGAACGAAGACACACGTGTAGTCCGAGTAGATCAGCAAGTAAGATATAAATTCACTGTTCAGCTAGAAGCCACAGAGAAGAGCTTGTGTGCCCACACTCACCTACATCAGCGGTCAAAGCCAACGATTCTGAGTAAACAAACTTCCTACGCTCACTAGAATTTCAGTCACGCAAACTACTAAATATGCTGAACTCTACAAGATACTGTGGGCGGGTAAAAAAAAATAAATCTATCTCGTTCAGGGTGATCTTCCAAACCTAGAGCAGTATACTGAGAAGACATTCTAACACACACTTCTGCGGTAAACATTCAACAGAGACATCATCAGTCCATCAACTACAAGAAAAACTACCCTAGCCACATTCTGTAAAACAACTTTATACCATTTAGAAATAAGATCACATCGTCCTGGAATATAGAACTATACTGCAGGAAATCGTCTTGATGCAAGTGATTAGAAAAGAAAATTGACAAGCCACTAGCGTGCACTACTATATTTGTTTCTAAACTATAGCCTGCTGCCTTCATATTCAAAGGGAAAGGATTTATGACACCACAGCAAAGGGACTCAGCATGGAAAAGGGTGGAATTTTAAAGGCTTTTTTTGGTCTGTAAAATGTGGCTTGTTGCTGCTCCGAAACAGATGGGACATCTCCACAGCAGCCTCGGGCCAAATGTTTCTAACAGTAGTTTTTTTTTTTTGGGGGGGGGGGGGGGGGGGGGGACTGAACACTATCCAGCTGTGTCCCGG